TTTAAATATACGCTAGCGTAAAATTAGATTCGTTTCTTTCTTCTTTCGACACTTAACTTTTAAGAGTATTTTTCGTGGTACATAATAATATAAACTTTACATAATTTATTTTATTTGTGCTTTCTATCTTAATCTATATATGATACCTATATACTTGACGAATGATGATATTTAAAAAAAAAACAATATATATATAGGTACCTAGGGTTAAGATAATTAACTTTGTCGTGATGTATTCAATCAGAACTGTTGTAAGTATAACTACCTATATATTATAATAAATATAGATATAATATAATCTTTAATATAATACCAACGATGTGGTTTTGTAGAATGCTTTATGTATATGTTATATTCGTAATGGTATCAATTAAAGCCGATGTTTGAATTCATTGTTTTCAATTGGGACGAGAAGACTACGCTTGTTACGCGGGCCGTACTCTTTTCGTTCGTAAAAAACTATTTCATTATTATGATTATTGTTATTATGAGCTCCCACATGCCGCGATCTCTTCGGTTTGGTTTACACGGCGTATCTCTATGTTATACATATATGTGTATGTTGTATATATATAAATACAATGTTATACGATACATATGTAATATTATGTGCATTCGTATTAATCAACGCCATCATTCGAGACATTATAATAATTCATAATAATATAATATGTATCCGTCGCGCGGGGTTAATACACTGAGCTCAGCGATATGTGTGTATAGTCGGGAAGACGAATAATAATTAATTATTATTGTAATAATAATATATTTTACCCGATTAGTATGATTATCGTATCTATTAGTGCGTGCTTATGCGTGTCCGGTTTGTGGCCTACGCGAAAGTCTCCGCCGATTTGCATTGACCAAATGGTTAAATTTAAAGGAATCTTACATTTAAATTGACAGTCGAAATAACTTCATAATTTTACATCCCCTCTCTGATAAGCTTTATCTAGCTTTCAAATGTTTTGCTTGTCATGATCATATACTAATATTAAACTCGACTTGTGCAATAACCAAAATGTAGGGCCTATAAGACTGCGAAAAACATATAGCTAGACAAATTATATAATAAGTTTTCTGGAAAAATAACAAAACATAATATCTCTATAATATTAAGAAAAATCAAAACTGTGTTGACATTTAAAATTTTGAATTGAATGCCTTTAATAAAATAAGATGTTTTTTATAATATTTTTCAAACGTGGGAATGATACGTTTTTTAGTTGGAGGCCTCCTCCCTATTCAACGCTAATGGTTGTCGGGGTCACCCGCGGGTTGGCAGGATTATTAATATTGTTAAAAGTTAAGTGCGTATAATACATTCAAACACTATGAACGGATGAACTACTATACGTTTATGGCTTATGCGTACATTTATATCATATATAGAGGTACACATGCGTTCCACTCGTGTCGAGTCCTGTTGGTGGAAGACCGTTTCAAGTATAAGTAATACCTACCTATATATATGTTTATTTTAATATGCCTCTTAGGGTCCACGTGTACAAATCGACCAGCGCCAGCAACCATTATCGACGGACGTGTATGGTATACGTCGTTTGCAGTTGTATATTTACGTGGACAATGAGTCGCTTTTGTTGTGTGCGTGTAGTTATAGTATACTATTATACTGAGTGAGTATGTGTGTATGTGTTTGTGATCGGTATGCGTCGTGTAGACGCCATCGAAGATTTTTGTCCAGAAAAAGGTTTGTCACGGCACAAAAAAAAAAAAAAATAATAATAATAATAATAACATGAAATAAAAGTTACAATTAACAATGTTTACGATGCTAATGAGATAACTTATAATACTACAATAGTTATGTGCGCACGTGTGTATGGGACCGACTGTAAATTAGAAAGTGAGAGCGGCTGTTACGAATGCGCTGGATTAAACGAAAAAATATAATAATATGTATAACGTTGATAACCACTTTGAAACAATTGCACAAATACTCAAAATTGCCAAACGCGTAGTGTGTAACACGGTCCTGATTTGTGTGGCATTTTTATCATAGAACAACTGCAGAAATAAGTAACAACCACAAGTACGAGTATTGTATGCGCTGGAAAGGATTCCTTAACAAGCACTTATATTATGACCATATCCTCTAACCGTAGGAAGTTGTTTTCGTTTTCGGCAACTATAATCATTCCAAAAAATTTTAACTATTATTATAACTATTCGATTGCCTAAATTATAAATTTACGTATTGGCGTATCTTTGTAAATGTAATTTAATTGAAAAAATAATATCTATTTTAAGCTTAAAAAAATGTGCATTATACCTACTCCGGGTCATAAGATAGGATATTGTGATTGTAGGAATAATTGAAAACATAAAATATTAAAAGAGTTACCTGTATTGGCTGTATTCATTGTATTTATATATATTTACTTATCTTATTCGAATTATTTAAGCTCTGTGATCTATCATGAGAATTACGTAATATTTGTTTTTACGTCATATGACTTAGGCATTTGTCATAATATTACAAAACGTATTTAAATACAAATTTTTAATTTTTGTTGTTTATTCATGGCCTGCGCTTCATTTAACACTACTAGCTGTGTGCATCACAAGGAGTATTTAGTAAAAAATTATCTTAGGACTATTARAACAAATTATGTATTTGCAAAAGTATTTGCGTTTAACTTCCTTTGTTAGTTTTACACCATTCGCTATAATTTCATCATCATCTAACAAAAATTCCTAACAAAAATAAACATAGAATATTTAAATGATAGCTGTTTTTAAGAAAAGTTTTCGTATCATTAAATTCATTAAAAATCCTTTTTCTATTATTTACTATTTTCTTTATATTAGATTTCCATAAGTATACTGGTAACAAACTATTATACCTAAAAAATTAGTTGGGTTCAAATTATAGTTTATTTTAAAGACTAACCTAACAGTCAACCTTAATAATTTTATGAKACTATAGCTCTTAGTAAATTATAAAAAAGATTTTAAAAAAAGAAATTATTATATTATTATGCTGAAAAGATTTGTTTTATTCATATTCATCTTATAGTCCTATACTATTTATAATTTGAAAAGGACAAAGTATAGTAATACAATTCTCTGCTAAAACATGCGCAGGCACTCGAACTTCCTTGATTTTTTTAATGGACCGGTTCTYTCCTTCGCAAAATTCAAGGTGTCAACTCTTTATAGGGTAAAATGTGGTTTTTAAGTATTTACGTTACACAATTGTTTATTAATATGACTTATTAAAAAAATTGAAATTAATGAATACAAAATAAATGATGAGAATTAATCGTGTAGGTATCAATACTAAATTTTAAATGCGATCATTATTGACATTGTTCAAATCGATAATGTAATATAAAAATATGATTGTTATAAATATTTAGTGAAATATGTTTTGCAATTTTATTGGATTAAGGTATAGGTATTTAACGCGTATGCAAAAACTTAAATAAYATTTTGCTTATAGATATTATATAATATTAWACTAATATAATGTAGGTATAGACATATTATTGATTTCTATAAATTTAAATTTATAATAAACAGTTTTTTAATTATACGTTTGTATTTTTTATGATGTATAGTGTATATATAATATTTATTAGTAAACATACGTGAAAGTTAACATATTTTTACTCTTGTTATAGTTACTATATATAACATAAAATTACGCAGTCTCGTAGATTCTTCGGAATATACCATTGAACTATATAAATATGTAGGTACACATTGAGTATTGTATGAAAGTTGAGTATTGCGTGTAATATGTATTATAGTTTTTCATTAAAAATAAAATCTTCTTGGTGATTACGCTAGATTTTTGATTGGCTATTTTAATGTAATTGTAAAAACACAAAAAGTCGTTTGAGTCCTATTAAAAAAAAAAATCCAATTTAATTTCTTATAATACCTAGTAGGTTAGGTTATTACCTAAATATGTATTTAATAAATTTTAAGTATTTTTCTTACAATTTGAGCCAACGCACTTAAAAGAAATAAATGCTTATATAGTTATATTGCAGTCACAGTTCAAAGTCGTTGACATCAAGCTCATTACACGGTTGAATTAATTCTGCTTATTGTATATATAGGTACCTGCAGGTACCTAAATATAGTTAATACGTCAGTTTCATCCGATTTAAATAACTAAACATTTTTTGTTATATCGGAAATTATTTTGTAATCAATTGAATAGTATAAGAACCATTTATTTTTTTATTTATAAATACATTTTGAAGGTCGATGTGATGAGGTGCAATTTATTATCATTCACGATACCTACGGTAATAAGCAACGCTGAACGTTGCCAAATCACGATCAGCCGACAATTGTTTAGCATAATATTTTTCTTTCAAACATGAAGCATTAAATTGGAAATTAATTTTAATGTTATTTATTGTATTTTTTTTACGGCAAATTATGATTAAATAAATACTAAAATATAGTTTTAAATAACTAATAATTATTATTCTCTTCTTTATAATTATATTTATCCTAAATGATGTCACATGGTTTCTGACCGAACAAAAACAAGCATTTGTTTAGGTTATAGCATAAATATAATTTTCGAATTTTTATGTTGTTTAGTTAATAATATATTACCATAATATCRATATCGGGCTGCATACTATTGAGTCGCAAAAAAAGTTATATATTAACGTTTATAAAATAAATTTAGATATCTGCAGATCCCTGATAACTGGCTATACCGTTTTAGGGATGACGCAGCTTGGCAATTGTTTTCCTCTTCACTCATTACCATTAGTTATGACTCATAACACTGAGTCGCATCCAACGAACGAATGCAAGTATTATGCAGCGCTGTATAATAGATCTCCGATTTTTGTTCGTAATTAATAATTATAGAAACTTATTATCCTTTTTTAAGTTAGAAATAAGCGTAAAAATGACTGATAAAATAAATTATATATACGTATATATGTACACGGGTCAAGAAATTATTGAATATTAAATATATTTTTATCTGTTTTTGTTTACAGATGTGGCTCTATATTTGCAAACGGTGTTGGTTGCCGAATCCCTTTCAGAACGAGCCGAAATACAACGCCAACAACTCTTAGAAAAACTCACCAACAGGGAAATGTCACCGGCCAGGACTCCATACATGGACATGAACGGACGTTCAAAGGGTGATTATTCTAGCAATTTTTTTGTCATATTTAATTTGTACCTCCTATTTTTTYGGTAATTCTAAAATCAGAAATGATAATGGAAAATATGTCTAGTACACTAATAGCTTTCACCGCGTTGGCAAATAACGGTAGGTCTTAATATATACTCTACTATTTGCAAAAGAAGATTCGGTACCCATCAAATAAAAATGTATATATATTTATATATAATGCACACGATATGAATACATAAAGAGGTAGTTTTTAATATTGTGGCGTTGTCTCGTCGCCTATTTCAATCGTGACATGATGTGTTTCAAGGTAAAATGWWGACACGATATCAAAAACGACAAAAACCCACAGCACAATGCTTCATGCCGACGCAGCGACGCCACAGGTAAGGTGTATAGCGATGGTAGGCTGATAAATACCTACAAAATACCCACTACAAGAATAATATAATATAATAATTTAAGAATACGTGCAGCGTACCGTGTCAACTCTTGATATAATTATTTTGAATTTAATTTTAACAATTCTATGCAATGTCTTTTGTGCACGCGTTTTTCTATACATCAACATTGTTACAAGAGAAATAGTAAAAAACATCAAACTATTTAGTACCAAAAATACTTAACATATTATTATAATGTTTAGATATGATATTATGTGATTTATGTTTATAATGTAAATTAATATTTTAAAGGAAGCGGTGATCTCAATTCTGAGGTTTTCATCCATTATAGATTACATCCAACATTAAAATTTCTTACTTATATTTTGTTTATTTCCAAAATATCAACTGATTTTAAATCGTAGACCTATCAATAAATGGAGTGATAGCAGAGAGAGAGATAGGATAGTTCAACAACAAAAATAACAACATTTTAGAAGAAGATAGCATATACCTTATTGATTCCATTATATTACATGGGTATGGACTATCTCCTTTTAACAAAGTTAGCACCTAGTATACTATGTTATAACATATTATGGTATAGGGTATGGAGGAAGTGCAGACACGCAGTCCATATATTAAAAAGTCTATATAGTTTTATATATTAATAATAATTTTTAAAAACGTGTACATCAATATTGAAATTACACTTTAGGTAAAATTGTAGTATTTTAAAATGGTAGGCAGGATCATCAAAAATTACTTTTTGAAATTGTTTCGCCCAGTAAATTTTTTATTTTATCGAAAAGGAATGGCATGATTGATTTTTTTTCTGCTTTAAAAGGCATTTGCAAACTCTCTAAATTTTTCACCAGAACGACCATATAGCTATAATAGCAAAATCTAGAATTTGCTGAACTTGAAAAGTCATCAGACTGATGATGCAAAGTAATCTTGTTTATGCATCTAAAAAGTACTTGCAGAGTACCTACTTAAATTTTTGTCAGAAGTAATTTCTTATTCATAAATTAGTTTTGAATATTTTGATCGAATGACTAAATTACGTCATGTGCATCATAATACGCGATGGCTGGGGAAGTTTACACAAAGACGAACAGTGACTATAGATACCGTAAAGAACGAATAATTGCCTAAGCATAACTCCTTAAAAATGTTTATTGGGGTCTCATAATCATAACAACAATAATATATGTGCATCGATTGAGTTTATTCAACCGGCGGGGTACCTATAACGATCGATATAATATATATTATCATGTTTCGTTGCAGGCCTGATAATGAAGTCGAACAGCTTCGCGTGCTTACACCAGCAAGCGGCGTACGAAGAACTGAGCTCGAACCAGCCGATCTACAACAACGTGCCGTACGAAGACGACATACTCAATTACGAAACTTTCGTGACCGACTGCAACGGGTACGGTCCGCCGTCCAAATACCATCTGAACGCGAAACGGCACAGCGCGCCAAACGGCGGTGGCATCGCCGACAACAGCAACCTGTCGACGGGCTTGTTGAACAAGTCGGCGCTGAACGGCAGCAGCAGCCTTAGCAGCCGGTCGAACAGCGACTCGTCCGAGAGCTCAAAGAGCGAGGTGATCTACGTGTCGGCGAACGCGGTCAAGTACTCGGCAAGCAAGTACGGGCCGCTGACGAAACGCGAGAAGATACTGTTCGTCGACCACACGAAGAAGTACTGGGCCGCGGTGCTGTCGTCCACCATGTACGTGTACAACGGCGAAAAAGAGCTGAAACCTTGCCTGGTCGTTCACCTCGAAGGGTACACGGCTAGGGACGCGGCGGGTGGCGGCAACCGGAACAAGGACTGGGTGTTCGAAGTCGTGTGCCCGGGCAAGAAGACTTACCAGGTATTACCTATATTATTGTATATAGAACCTTAATAAATTAATTTTTAAAAAAGTAACTAAAAAAAAAGAAACAAAAAATTAAATATATGCAATCATAAATACATAAATGGTATAAATAATATAATACATAAAATGTATAGATACCTAGTATTTTGCAAAGAATACTTTTATTTTGAATTTAATATCAATGTTTAAATAAAATATAGATAAAAAACAATCATAATACGCTACCTCTAAAACATTTTTTTTTTTTTTAAGAGTATTTTAAATACTATTTATTATTTTTATTCAAATACTTTACTTGACTGTTTAAGATTATTGATAGTATTGATAGTATAGATGTAAATAAATAATATGCAAAAGTTCGAAAAAACCTATTGATTGAAACACTTTTTTAGTTAATTTGATATAAGTTGAATAAAATTAAATAGTTTGATGTTAAACTATAAAAAAAAAAAATTAATGAATTTTATGAATATTATATTTTTACTTTTACTTTGGTATACGGTATACGACGTATACGTACTCGCTAAATAATATTATATTATACAAAAAAAAGGAAAATTATTTTTTTGAATTTAAAATCCTGCAGACTACAGAAATCAAAAAAAAATATGTGTCGAATTAGAATTCTCCTTGGAGTTAAACTAAATTTGTTCCCCCTCCCCCCCCCAAAAAAAAATAAAAATAAAAATAAAAATAATATGTAAGTATAGGTATGAAAATCTGGACATCTAAACACATATTATATTATAAACTATAGTTATGTACTAATCGTGGATTTGAACATTTTTCTCAATTATCAGTTCATAGCTCAAAACCAAAATGACCTGCAATCTTGGATCGAAGCCATCAACAACTCTTGCAGCAAGCCGTCTACCCCAGAAATGGAACAGCTCCCATCGTCTCCCATATGTTTCAAACAGGAGCTGTTGCCTAACCGTGAATTGCCCGTGCCCCCTGCTGCTATCGTAGACCCTACCGCACAGGATTATTATTATGATAAACCGAATCCTATCATAAGACCTGTAAATCTTTACGAGAACGGGACCGACGACGTGGACATGATTGAGTCGATATACCACTTTATCGACGAGTCCAAACAAGAAAATGACATGTTGCCAAAGGTTTATATTACCTGCATTATTATTATTATTATTATTGGCTACTGGTATTTTCGATTATATTGTTAACTGATCGTTATCGATTTTTTGGTACTGATAAAAATTTATGTTTATTTTTTTAGATCGATAAACAGTTTTGGGATGGCGACACATCGTATTACAATATCCCAAGCAACATACCGGTGCCCGTATCAATCAAGGAAGATCAAAATAACAACGAATACAATGATTATTTTGCCGAAAAGGAAACAAGCTACGATATAATAACAAGTATGTTTTACCAGATCCATCGTTAGGCGCCAGTGTGGTAGATTGGAATTTCAGCACAGAAATAAGGACCTTATAGGAATATCGAAGGAAGGGTTTTAAGGACTTTATTATTATAAATAGGTTTTACTGGATTTAAAATTCCAAAATGATAATATTTGTTACACCGGTCGCAYTATTTAGAGACTTTAAATTCTGAGCGGAGTGATTAATGTATTTATTGTACAATGTGTGTGTTTTCTGGTAGGAAAGTGAATCATTGGTTACCGCTGTGTGTGTGGGTGTGTGACGTGTGTAGGGGGTTGGGTTTAAAGTAAGAATATCTCAGAGTAGTTCTTAATATTAATGTTTTTAGTTATAAGACATTTCAATACACAATTAATGATACAAATAATGAAATAAATAATAAGACTTCTTAAGGCTGCTTGGAAATAATTGATCAACTGGATATACATATTATTGATGTTTCAGTAAGATCTATTGCATAGAAAATTCATGCATGTACCTAAATAAATTTACCAAATAAAAGTCATAACTCATGTAAATTTATTGCGTAAATGTTAGGTAACTATCACAAGTCAGTTTAAATAATATGGCGAGTTATATTCAAATTATAATACTATAGGTATATTATTATTAAATTAAAATATAAATAAAATATAATTATCAGAAATCAGTTTACTCTATTAGTCTCTATATAGTTAAGGTTATAATACAAACGCATTTGCAATGTTATAAATAAATGCGTTGTCTAATGTACCTACGTGAACTATGGTTTCAGATGACAAATGCGAGTTGACTGCGGCGGCGGACCCGGTTTTGGGCGTACAACAGATAATACAAAAAATCGAAGAAATAAACAGCAAAAAGGCATCACCTTTTTTAAGGCGTAAATCGCAACCAAAGAACAATAACTGCAACGGTCCAATGAGAAACTCTACGCCGGTATACACTACCGATGAGTTTTATGAACCCATGAAAGTAATGAAAAACATGCAACCCAACAGCAACGTAGCAACGGTTGTCGGTTCACAATCGTTTAGAAAATCTCGTTGAACACGCTTATTATTGAGTTTTCGTTGAGAAAATATCCAATTGTGTGGAACCTCGGTCATGTTGTACTTGAATTTTATCAATTTCCCTTTAATTGTCTCAAAACTCTACGACGGTTGCAAATTGTGTAATATTTATATATGCATATTTAAGAACATAATATAGGTACGACATATCGCGACGTCAAAGTCATAACGAAATATGTTATATTAAATTATTTATTTATATAGTAAGTCGCTCAATATTTTTTTTTTAAATTGCAACAATTTTGATATTATAATGATATCCTATACACTATAATATAGTTTTCTCCTAATCTGACAAGTCTGCTTACCGGTAGAGATCCTGTTTGAACACTGAATATTATAACACATTGTATAAACATTTTAACACCAAAAAAGGGAAAAGCTACTTTAATGTTTCTAGTCTGTAGGTTGTAAACAATTTTTACTTTGTTAATTGATTTTTTTTTTTATTATTATATAATAGCATTTAGGTATAGATTACAATTATCCGATTAATAACATTGATTTATTATTTATGCTTTACTGTAATTTTTTTTTTTTTTTGTATACAAATAAACAAATACATTCCGTGTTATCAACTCCAAACAACAAAATGTACATAATTATACTGTTAAAGATACTGTTGGATCTCTAATATTATACATTATTTTGTATGAATTATACTTCTACCCTTTAAAATGTCAAATAACCTCATACTTGTCTGTCTCTATACATAATAATGTTCTTCAATTCATTGTAATATCGCCATTTTTACCGCTTATAATTTTAGTATTAGTCAACTACTGTTAATATATACATTACTTAAGACTTAAGTGTTAGATAAACCATGGACTTTATATTTTGTAATTTGTAGGTGCATAGCATATTACTATATAATATTAGTGCAAAAAATAACCGCATTGAATGTAATTATTTACTAAAACTGAATAAATTCAGCAACATGTAATATAGAAATATTATGATAAAAATAAAAATTGTATTTTCTATATATACATAATATATATAAATATTTTTTTTATCATTGTTGCCTTATTGAAATGAAGGTATTGTATAATTGGAGAATATTTATTTTTCCTATTGATATAATACTATATTTTTTACGACAAGATTTTGATAATAGATTGCAACTAGTTGAGACAAAATAGTTGTTTACTTAATTAATGTAACGTAAGTAATGTATAGTTATTATTATTTTTTTTTTTTAATTTAAACACATCATCATAGTTAGTATTTAGTATTTACTTATAAACTATTTTAACGGTTTACATGTATTATTTCGAACTTAAGATGCTATATTATACAAATCCATGACGCGTTGTCTCAGTCTTACAAACACGTAATATAGCACTCTTCGTGCTAGGCAAATTTAGCTCAGTTTAAGCCAATACATGAAAAGGTAATCGGATAAAAAAGCCATCGACAAAAAAGTCACGGATAAAAAAGTCATGGATAAAAAAGCCACCGATAAAAAAGACACGGATTTATTTTTGTGCTAAAACAATTTAGATACTACAATGTATTATTATTTATTTTAAAATTGAATACAATTAATATAATTTAAAAMAGTTATAACCAAAAAAAGCGAAATATTTCGAAAATTAAGGTATGTGAAGAAAATACCAAAATACGTGTATTTTTACTTTTTAATACAAAAATATTACACATTTTAAATCCCCCTAAAATTATTAGTAGACTATTGTACACTAAATAAGCTATATCGTCTGATTATTTTTCAATAATAATTGGACTAATCTTATCGCCGTATCGTAACGTAAATGTTTGGATGGCAATCGAACAATATACTGTGTAATTGTGTCTATAATCCAATA